CCTTTGTTGATGTACATCAATGACTTCTGTGTTTTGGAGTGGAATGTTAGGCTCTAGAGAAAAGTAGGGAGGTGGGTAGCCATAAAGTGCTTCAAACGGGGTACATTTGAGGCTGGTGTGGTAATTGGTATTATACCAATACTCAGCCAAGGGCAACCACTTTGCCCATTGTTTAGGACAATTAAAAATCATGCCCCTTAAATAACTTTCAAGGCATTGATTTAACCTTTCTGTCTGACCATCAGATTGGGGGTGGTAGGATGAGGTAAGGTCTAAGCTAGTGCCCATTGACTTGAATAGTTCCTGCCAAAATGAACTAGTAAAAACCTTGTCCCTGTCAGAGACAATACTAAGAGGTTGTCCATGTAATTTGTAGACTGAGTCCAAAAATAGCTTAGAGACTGATGATGCTGTATAGGGGTGAGACAGAGCTATGAAATGGCCATATTTGGTGAATCTGTCCACTACCACCAATATGACATCTTTGCCCATTGACTTGGGAAGGCCTTCAATGAAGTCCATGGAGATATGAGACCATGCTTGAGAAGGAATAGGTAGGGGTTGTAAGAGTCCTGGATATCCCCCACTATCAGGCTTTGTTCTGGCACATATGTCACAGTTCCTTACCCATTCTGTAACTTCTTTTTTAAGATTGGGCCAGTAAAAGAGTTTCTTTAGCCTCATGTAAGTCCCTTGCACACCTGAGTGTCCACCTAAGGCTGAATTGTGAATTTCAGTTAAAAGGGATTTCTTCAGGGCAGGATCATCTCCAATAACAATTCTGCCTTTGTATCTGAGCAAATCTCCCTTGAACTCATACTCTGGATAAGTAGTAGGATGTAGTAGTTTGCTTTCCATGATCTTTTTCCACTGGGGGCTAACAAGGTAGCTTTGGCTGACCTGTTTGATCCATGTTGGAATAACTGTAGAGATGGCTTGACAGTCCTCATGGACACCACTTCTGGACAAGGCATCAGCACCTTTATTATCACAACCCTTCTTGTATTGAATTTCATAGTTCATTCCCAGGAGTTTTGAGACCCATTTTTGTTGTAAAGGAGACACTAATTTCTGATCCAACAAGTGCTTGAGGGCTTGCTGATCAGTTTTAATAATGAATTTGTAGCCCATGAGATAGTGTTTCCATTTTTGAGTGGCCATAAGGATGGCCAAGAATTCTCTTTCATAAATAGGAAGAGCCTGGTTCTTAGGACAAAGTACTTTACTCATATAGGCAATTGGTCTGCCCTCTTGAATGAGGATGGCACCAACTCCTAAGCCACTGGCATCAGTCTCAAGTAAGAAAGGCTTGGTAAAATCAGGTAAGGCTAAGACAGGAGCTTCCACCATTGCCATTTTAAGAGTTTGAAAAGCTTTGTCTGCCTCTGTTGACCAGGTAAATGCACCTTTCTTCAACAAATTAGTTAAGGGTTTACTGATAATCCCATAACCTTGTATGAACCTTCTATAATAACCAGTAAGACCTAGAAAACCCCGCAGTTGCTTGATTGTTGTAGGTGTTGGCCATTTTACCATGGCTGCAATTTTGCTAGGATCAGTAGCCACTCCTTGCTTAGAAATTAAGTGGCCTAAATACTCCACTTGCTCTTGGCCAAAATGGCATTTACTTTGCTTTGCAAACAGCTTGTGTGTCCTCAGCAGATCCAAAACATCTCTGAGGTGTTGCAAGTGGTCATCCCATGTCTTGCTATAAACCAAAATGTCATCAAAAAACACTAGAACTGAGGTCCTCAACATGGGCTGAAAAACTTGGTTCATGAGAGATTGAAAGGTGGCTGGTGCATTGCACAGCCCAAAAGGCATGACTAAGAATTCAAATTGCCCATTGTGGGTATTGAAAGCTGTGTATTGTCTATCTTCAGGCTTCATAAGGATCTGGAAATAACCTGACCTTAAATCAATCTTTGAGAAGAACTGTGCCCCATGTAATTCATCTAAAAGTTCATCAATAATAGGAATAGGATAATCATGCTTAATAGTGAGGCTATTAAGATACCTATAATCAACACACATCCCCCAAGTGAGGTCCTTCTTCTTGACTAACAAGACAGGTGAGGCAAATGGGCTATTACTGTGTTGAATTAAGCCTGATGCCAGTAACTCACCCACAATCTTTTCAATCTCCCCTTTCTGACTGTGTGATACCCTATAAGGATATTGATGTTTGGGCAAACTCTTATCTTTGAGAATAATTTGGTGTTCCACCCCCCTGATAGGAGGTAGGCCCTGGGGTTCTTCAAACACATCAGAGTATTCATCTAACAGGTCCTGTAAGGAGGGATTAAGAGTAGACATACCCTGTTGCATCTTAACCCAGTAAATTTCTTCAATCTGGGAAGAAAATTCCTGGTGCACCATTTTGTAAAGGACTGGGCCTGAGATTAGCTGACATTCACCACCTGATGTGATAGCTTGTATCCTGACCCTCTTGTCTTGTTGAGTAACTGTGAAAGTCATTTTAGAATAATCCAGTTCAATAGGTGTGCAAGACTTCAACCAATCACCACCCAAGATCAAATCATAGCCTTCATTAGTCAACACCCGGGGAGAGAAAGTGAATAAGTGGCCCTGTATCCTCCATTTGAAATTTGTCACTTTGAATGAGCTGATCATTTTGTCTCCATTAGCTACTCTGACCATAATGGGTTTGACCTTAGTAAGTAGGCAACCTAGTTTTCTTGCAGTGGCCTCCTGTATGAAACTGAGTGTGCTACCAGTGTCAATAAGAATATGCAGGTGTTCTTTGCCCACTGTGCCCATCACTCTCATTGTGGTGACTCCAGCTTCACCCATGATAGCTTGGGTGACATGAATTTCCTCCATTACTTCCTCTTCAGTAATTCCAGGGTCTGGTTGCTCATCAAGCACCTGGCTGTAGAGGGACTCCTCTTCCTCTGTCATGATCATATAGGAGATTCTGTTTTTGCATCTATGTCCCCTTGAGAATGGCTCATCACAGTTATAGCAAAGCCCTTTCTCCCTTCTCTTTGCCATTTCAGCAGATGTTAACAACTTGAAGTTGGAGGGAGTAGTTGCAGGATATCCTCTGTGGGCAGGTTGTTGTAGTGTAGAGTCAGTCCTTTTGAAAGGTGGGTAGGGTTGTGGTGTAGGTCTTGTGTTGCCTTTGAGTTTCTTTGTTAGTGCCTCCAATGTGAGAAGTTGTCTCTGCCCCAAGTCAATAGTCTGTTGTAAAGATTGAGGTTCAAACATCTGAATGAATGCCTGTAGGTCTTCACTAAGACCACTTACAAAGCTAGCAATGAAGTATTCCTCAGAGTAACCCCTTGGGTTGAGCAACAACATACAAGACTTCAGCTCTTCAAATTTCTCCACATAATCAGAGTAGGAATGAGTATGTTTAAGTTTGTTAAATTCTGCAATAATCTTAGCTTCCTTGAGGTCCTCAAATCGTGCTGAAATGACATCTAGGAATTGAGGCCAGGTCAAATCACCCTGTTTGGTAGAGAAGTGTTGGAACCATTGAGCTGCCTTACCCTCTAGATGCATACTGGCCAAAATAACTTTCTGTGGGTCAGGTATGTTGGGAATTAGCTTGAAATAGGACTGGCATTTGAGGATCCATGCTCTGGGTTGGTTTCCATCAAACTTAGGGAATTCGATTTTTGGGAGAGGACTGATGATAGATGGGTTATGATGATGAATATGTTTGTCAGGGTTTCCCAGGATAGACTCAGTGAAATTGTTGTTTACCTTACTCATGTTAAGGAGCTGCAGCTGCATAGCAGCTAAGGTGTTGGATAAGTGCTCGAATTTGCCATTGAAATCTGAACTAAGTTCATGCATGCGATCCTGCAATTTCATTTCTGCAGCATCACGTTTGAGGCTCTCAGTTTGCAGGCTTTGATCTAACTTTTTGTGAGCTTCTTGCAGGTCCTTAAAACGAGTAGCTTCTGCCATGGATGATACCAATTGTGATGGGCTGGTTATGAATTATATATTTGTTTGTGATATTTATCTATGTATGAATTAGAGGATAAATGGGGAAGAAGATGACAGAGGGATATAGAGAGAGAGAAAGATAGAGAGAGAGAGAGAAAATAGACGGGAGAAAATAGATTTTTCATTCATATCCCTTTACTCAAGTTTTCTGCTACAAATATAACCACCATGTGTGGGACCAACCCCAAAACCACATGTTACAAACAATTCTCATAACAAAAAGATGCTAAATCCTTCAATGAAATAAAGACAAGTGTCCTACTAAAAGTAAAGAGGCTGAATTAATGAATTTTCCTCAAGCTGCCACGTGTCGAAATCTCCACTACCAGCTTAAGTCACATAAAAACGTCAACAACTTCATTTTCTTCTTCACAACGTTTCACCATTTCGTCCCCAAATTTCGTCATCGGAACCCTAAAATTCCCAATTTCACAAATCGCGATTGAGTTCACGACAGTTTTCTCTTATGCTGCATCCTTTTTTTCTTTTGGTGCAAAATATGTTTAATCCCAAGTAAATATATATTTTCCCATTATTTATCAAAAGGGCCAAAAAAAAAATAAAAAAATTAATTAAAGCAATCCAAACATACCAAAATGTTATTATTGCTATTACATTTTTTGTGAGTGTTTTTAAACATGTTATATGATTGTTCATTACAGGCCTACTACTGGTGGAAGTCATGTTCCTGCACCAAAGTGAAGAAGAGAAATTTGAAATTTGTGATAAAACATCACTACTTCAATATTTTTATTTTGAAAATGGAGTATTCATTTTGCTGGGGAGTTCGAATGTGTGTTGTAGTTTTGAAGTCTCAATTTATCATATGAGTTTATATTCTTGACCCTCGGATTGTAATTTAGTGTTCGTGTAGGTATCTGGGTTGACGCCATATATTTTATAAATATTATATAGTGCAATCGAAGTTATGTCTCCTGAGATATCTGGACCTGATTATTAGTTTGAAAACTTTTCAGTCCAACGATGTAGGGAAGCGTACGAGTGAGACAATATTAATGAGATCGCAATCTCACGAACACCTAAATACGATATCAATTCATCATATTCATAATCGACCAAGAAAATAAACTAGAGTGAGTCCTTTATAAAAGGCTCTCTAACCCTAAACCTTAATTTGTCCACCTAGTGAAGATAAATAAAGACAATTATTATGATAATATTGGTCGACACGATTCTCCCCCGATTCGAAAGGTTTCGCCCTCGAAGACAATGCGCTCCTGTGGCCGGCGTGTGGTGTCGAATTCATGGTACGAAACCCCCGTCGTTTCCCTTGGTTGAACACGAAGGTTGAACGTCGCCCAACCAGTTCAACGTTCCCTTGAATTTCAACAAACACGAATACGACTACAACCGTCTCACCATCATCAACAACATATACCACAACAATAGATGCCAAGACTATTCCAGATAAAGACACTTTATCAATACACCTTGAGCACAACCAAGAGCTAGCACATCTGCCTTCAGGATCAAATCCCACATTAAAAACATGGTACCACTTATCACAAAAATCACAAGCAATGGATGTATCAATATCTGAATCTAAATCAATTGACACCGATGCACTACGAATTTTGCAGCCATCTCCATCCGTGCAGACAACTACATTCTCAACAATTCTCAATTTCTCATGTCCCCGCAAAGATTTTTCTCCGTCACCGGAGGCTCTTCATCAAGTATCGGCGGACCACGTAAAATGGTTCGTCATAAAAAACCGGCGATCCATCGTAAAATGGTCCTTCTACACAAAACATTGATTCCCATCGGCTATCATCAACAATATCAGCACTCTGCTGACCATCGCGCTCAATGCCCGACGCAAAGAGGGCCGTTCGGGGTGCCAGGACCGCGTTCGCCACGGTCGACCCACGACTTAGAGGACGGCTAGGAAACCCTATCGGACGTCAACCACTTCGGCATCCGATGGGACCAACAAGAAGATGACCTTGGCGAGCGGCGTATGGAATACCGGGACGATGAAGGCTAAAACGCCCCATGCGGACACCGTTGCGCAGGGGACGACAACGACAACCGCTGGGAGGTGAGCTTTTAGGTAGAGAAGCCAGAATATTCGGGCGGGCTCGACGCCACGGAGTTTCTCAATGGCTTGTTGCACTGGAGTCGATTCTCAACTTCAAGGAGGTCCCCAATGATCGACAGGTGGCATTTATCGCGACACGGCTGCGGGATTGTGCAGCGGCCTGGTTCATGCAGTTAAAAGAAGGCGACATTGTATGGGTAAATTGAAGATTACTTTTTGAGCGAAATTTCGTAAGCATCTCGAACGCAAATTTTTTCCATTTAATTATGCACGCACTATTTATAAAAAAATTCTAGAACTTGCGACAAGGATCGTATACGGTTGACGAATATACATAAGAAATATATCGGCTGCATGAGACTTTCGATAAACTTGTGTCTCGTTATGTGGGTGGTTTTCGGATTTCGATTCAAGTCACATTGAACCTATTTATTCTAGATTCGATGTCCGATGCTCATCAATGTGCTATCATGGTAGAGCAGTAACAGGCTCGGCGTACGTCGTCGACTTTTTTGCCAGCTCCACAGGGAGGAACTGGTACATCTGTTGTGGGTACGGGCCTTCCTCTTGGGGATGGGACGGGATGTCTGCAGGGTCTTCTTCAATGGGCCAGGGAGCGAATTGGGCTGGTAACTCGGGCCTGAGCAGCACAACAACAGCAACAGGTGGCCAGAGGGGTCAGCGCGCGACTCTGTGCTGCGCTGTTTTGGGTGCGGGGAGTTCGGCCATGGTCAGATGACGTGTCCACAAAGAACGGGCTCATGTACGTTATTTGTTGATGAGTGAGACGTATAGAGAGGGCGACGTGTATGATGGACCACCCATTTTCGACGAGGAGCTGGAGGTCGTCGAAGAGAATCTTACGACAATGTGAAAAGAGCATTTGTTCTTCGTCAAGCAACGAACTGGTGGAGCGGCACCATATTTCTTAGTGTACGTGTACTGTGGGTGATCGCGTGTGCTGATTCATTATCGATTTTGGTTCATTTGAGAACGTCTCTCTGGAAGAGGCAGTGGAAAAGCTGGGACTTTCGACAGAACCTTATCCACAGCCATATGCTCTTTCCTGGATCCATAAAGGCACAGCGGTCACAGTGGGTCGTTGTATTTTTATTTATTATCTGTTGGGCCAAGGTATCGAGATCAGATTTGTTGCGATGTGGTACCAATGAATGCCTTCCATCTGCTTTTAGGTCTTCTTTGGCAGTACGACCGTGCCACTACACATGACGGTCGACATAACACCTACAATTTTCTTTTTGGAGGTGTTAAGGTCGTTTTGCATCTCGGACCGCCTCGCCTTTTGCCAGCTTCCACGTTGTCGCCAGTCCTTTTTCTTTCCAATGCGGCCTTTGAGAAAGAGATGCGCACTGTGTCTATCTTCTTTTGCTAGGCACGGATCCCGTCGGCGACTGGGTACTGTTGATCGCCATCCAGCCATTATTATCAAAGTTTGTTGACGTCTTACCGGAAGAGATCCCAACGGGTTTGTCGCCTTTGCAGGATATACAACTTCACATTGATTTGGTGCTGAGGGCTTTCCTGCCAAACAAACCCCACTATCAGATGAGTCCTTTAGAGCATGAGGAGTTTCCACCATACGTAGAGAAACTTCTCTAGCGCGGCGTGGTGCATCGAAGTTTGAGTCCTTATGCGATTCCTTCCCTACTTATTCCGAAGAAAGACAGCTCGTGGCGCATGTGCGTTGATAGTCACGCGATCAACAAGATCACGGTCCGTTATCGCTTCCTTATTCCTCGTTTAGACGACTTATTGGACCAGCTTCACAATGCGATTGTATTCATCAATTTGGATCTCCGCAGCGGGTATCATCAGATTAGGATCCTCCCAGGTATTGAATGGAAATTGACGTTCAAAATTTGGGAAGGACTATTTATGTGGCTAGTCATGTCATTCGGCCTCTCCAATGCGCCGAGTACCTTCGTGAGAGTGATGAATAAGGCGTTGCGTGATTTGTTAGGTAAGTATGTCATCGTTTATTTCAATGATATTCTTAGTTATAGCCATACGGTGGTGGAGCACTTGTTGCATGTTCGTTCAGTATTGCTTATTCTAGTTGCCGAGTCCTTTTTTGCGACACCACGTAAATGCTTCTTTATGGTGGATTCAATTCTTTTCTTGGGATTTATGATCTCGGACAATGGGATTTAGATAGACAATAGCAAGGTGGCCGCTATTCGTGATTGCCATAATATTACGTTTTCTACTGAGGCCCGTAGCTTTCACGACCTTGCTTCATTCTATCGCCAGATTATTTCTCACTTCAATTTGCTAATGGCCCTGATTACTAATTGTCTCACTGGGAAGTGTTTTACGTAGACGTTGCAGCAGAGGACGCCTTTGCTCTCATCAAGAGCCAGCTCACTTTGGCACACGTGCTAGTGCTCTCAGATTTTTCACGACTTTTTGAGCTTTCTTGTGATGCCTCGAAGGTAGGGATTGGTGTCGTGCTTAGTCAGGATGGTCTGCCAGTCTTGTTTTTCAGTGAGAATTTATCTAGCCCTCGGGTTTGGTACAGGACCTGCGATGTAGATTTCTACGTTGTAGTTTGTGTGATTCATCATTCGCGATAGTACCTTTTCCACAGAGAATTTATCTTGTCTATTGACCACATGACCTTACGTCACTTAACATCCAGGAGAATATTTCGGCTAGGCATACGCCATGGACGGGTTCCTACAACAATTTACATTTTTTTTGAAGCATCATTCCGGTACGTCGAACAGAGTGGTCGATACCGCAGACTCTTATTGACTGAATGCGTGTGTTCGTGGTCGAGTTTGAGATGTTGCGCGACCTTATCTTGGTGACCCTTTTTTCGGGCCAATTATGCGCCGTCTGGCGGAGGATCCTTTGTGGATTACGCCCTCGCTGAGGGTTTTTTATTTCGTGATGTACTACTTTGTGTGTCAGACTGCAGCCTGCGACACAAGCTGATTGCCGATCTTCATGGTGCCTGTTACGTGGGCCATGACCGGTCGGTTGAGTTGCTGCGTTGATCGTACTTCTGGTCTTCCCTTCGGCGTGATGTCACGCGGTTTGTGAGATGTTGTCAGGTTTCAAAAGGGGTCGCGACTAATGCCGGCTTGTATCGCCCCCTTCCGATTCTGTCTCAGTCATCGCATACGATAAGTATATATTTTGCGTTGGGCTTTCCCAGTACACAACAGGGTTTCGATTCCATTTTTGTGGTGGTGGACCATTTTTAAATACTGGTGCACTTAATTCTATGGAAGCGTACCACCCACGCCGTTTGCGTGACGCAGTTGTTTTTCTGGGAGGTCTACCTCCTGTATGGCCTACAGTCCGCTATTGTCTCCGACCGCGATACTCGGTTTTTGAGTTACTTTTGGAAGAGTTTGTGGCATATGGCAAACACTAGTCTGGACTTCAGCAGTGCATACCACCCTCAGACAGATGGCCAGACAAAGGTGGTCAATCAATCATTGGGCAATCTGCTCTGTTGTTTGGTGGGTGATAACCTCCGGAGTTGGGACCAACGCTCGATCCAGGCCGAATTCGCTCACAAATCCGTCGTCAATAGGGCCACAGGTTTCTCTCCATTCCAGGTCGTTTATGCGATTCAACCACGCGGTCCGACGGAGCTAGTGGTGTTGTCGTCTGCCGCATATGTCGATTGACGTGCTTCAGAACTCATCTCGGATTTGCAGAGGACTCATGCGACGGCTCTTGCTCGGTTAGAGGCAACTACGACCTCTTATAAGCGTCAGACGGACACCTGACATCGGCATGTTGAATTCGAGGTAAGCGACTTTGTTTGGGCGGTTTTGACGAAGGACAGGTTCAAGGCCCATGAGTATAACAAGTTGTCTGCCCGAAGGATTGGTCCAGTTAAGGTGCTTGAGAAGATAAATCTAATGCTTACCGTCTCCGCCTTCCATCTCACATTCACACGTCTGACGTTTTCAACGTCAAGTATTTGTTGTCGTTCACTGGTGATAATTCTGACGGAGACGAGACCGGTTCGGATTCGCAGTCGAATTCTTCCCAACCGAGGGAGGATGATGGAGACGAGATCGCGATTGCATTTTTGGACAAATATGACCAACTTCGTATTTAGTTGATTTATTTCCTAATTATTATTTAACCTTTTTATTCAGTTTCCTTAGTTATTTGAATAATGTTGGTAATTAAATAATTAGTTAGCCTATCTTGTTAGGCAAGTAGGACTATCTTTTTTATATTGTCTTTGACGATTGTTTTTTGAACAAAAAATTATCGAAATTTTACGTGAGATTTTTTCATCTTATTCCTTTCGTCTACCACGCTCTACTTCATCCACCCAACACACGATTACTCAAGTATATGTGCTTGAGCTAATTAAGTTAAATGCAAATTAATACTAGCCCAAAGCACTAGCCGTGAAGTTTGGAGAGTTTAACACAAAAGGGGCCTCAAACAAACAATACAACTTATGCATCTGAACATCTCTTTTCTTTCTTCAGTTTCTTTACAATTCCTAGCGTGTGCGTGAGTGTTATAAGAGAGTTTTAAAGAGAAGAATAAAGGTTCTTCCCCATAACAGACATAATAACATCATTGAAAGAAATAACAACTCGTCTTATTTGGTTGAAAGTCATTAAACTTTAGATGAAACTTTTAATTATTAATTAACTCAAGACTAATTAAACCAATAAGTTTTAAATTTAAGAAAGGAAAAAAAAAAAGAATAATAACTTGTTCACATACTTGGCTGTGTGTATGAGATACCATAATATAACAAGTTCTTTTTTTTTAATATAACTTGTTCACATACTTGGCTGCATAGAATGTCATAAGCCTCTAGCTAAAATCTAACAAATTCTTTTAATTAAAAAAAAAAATCAATCTAACACATTCTTGGCATCAGGAGATCTAGAGAAAACAGTCTTGGATAAAATAACAAATATAAAATAAACAAAGCGGGCATAAGAAATTCAGCCACTGCCACGTTTGAAGTGAAGTTTTATGAATCTATTGGCATAAGAAGGATATTTGTCCCCGATGTAGGCTCGTAAACACTTCTGGTAGGAGAAGTCGATCTGTTCACCATCTGTTCGGACCACAAAGAGACATCTCGTATGACTGAAATGAGGGTGCAGGCCAACCTTTCACAAAAAGCCACACATTCTTTAGTTGCTATGCATTCAAATCCACCGAAAATCTCATCGCAATAATGTGTTATCATGTCTTGGTTTAAAAGAATGACAGTTAAGTCATGGTGTAAAATCAAATCCATTCTTAATATATGCTTTACTACAAGTAAAAGAAGATTGTAGCAACATTTTTTTTTTCTATTTTTCTTAAAAATGAAAAGATGATGCATGACGAAGAATGAACAGTTGGTTTAATTAAAAGCAAAAAACAAAGAATTTGAAAGAAAAATCATAGCCAGTTACAAAAAACAGTTGGTTTATATTAGAATATTCATTTGTGAGTTGTCCCACATTGTTTATACAGGGAAAATAGACCTAATTTATAAGTCTAAGGGGCTACTCATCCTTCCACCAAAAACCTAATTTATAAGTCTAATGGGCTACTCATCCTTCCACCAATTAGTTTTTGGATGGAATCTCACTTGGGTTTTATCTAGGTTTTTTCCTGTCTTAGTGCGCTTCACGTACCGCACTCGTTTTCTCCCCGTTTCTTACAGTTTAATTAAAAGGAAAAAAAAACAAAGAACTTGAATGAAATATCATAGCCAGTTACAGAAAACCCAAGTGGCTCTTGAAACTAATCCACGATGAAGGTAATTTCTAACAAAACTCAGTCACTGTCAAGGTATACACTATGAAGCTAAGTGTGAATGAGATGTTGTCTGAATATATAACCATAACTAATAATT